GAGAATCACGATTCTGATGTAAAACGATTTTTTGGTGCACCCCTACATGACATCATATCATATCACCAAATTCTTGCGTATACACAGCCCTAATCTAACAAAAAGAGAAAGTACTGGATTTAAACRCTAACAGTTCAGTCCAACCCCGTCCATCGTGTCATTTGATATAATCTACCTTTGACCCTCAAAGTAACAAAGAAAAGAAAAGACAAAATCTCAGAGGAGTAAAATGAGCTGCACTGGACCTGCTCTGTGTTTTTAATCTGAAACACTCAGCTGCTTGTTATTTAGTTTCAGGTCTGTTTGACCAACAGTTAGATGTCACTGGATTAAGTTTCCAAATGATGCTAAATCACTCCCTTGGTAAAAAAAAAAATCAACATTTTAAAGTCATTTGTTATCATAAAACGAAGCTGGAAAATAGTCATTTAGATCAGTCTGATAAAGTGAAGACACACTTATTGTTTGGATGGTGATTTCACTTGTTGGAACTTGTAAAATGGCTGTGACAAACGGGGCTATTACAACAATACTTGTCCAACCCGTCAACTCTACACGCTCTATCACAGTTGACACTGTTTTGCCCAGGCAACGTTGGAGCCTCAGGAGTCACTTCCTTCAGACTAAATGAGGACACAAGTTAAGTAATAGTCATAAAAATTTCCAGAAGGAATACATATCGCCAACTGCTTTTCCTGACAGTTTTAGACTAAAATCATCTTATGATGTTTTAGCTGTTTTAGTTACATCTTGTAATTGATCTCATGATATTGCAAGATTTTGCAAAAATGCTCAAAGTTTATGTTGGGGATAACTCTCAGCTACTGCCACAGCAAAGTCACTCAAAACCTGCATTAGAGTTTTAGCTGCTTATGAGTTGGTTAACGTCARTTAGCTGTGGTAACCATTTTGAACTGTTCAGTTAGACCCAATCACTTTAAGTTTCAATAAAATCAGTCCAGTGGTTCATATTTGCTAATAGACAAACAGGGTTGAGTCTAACAGCTAATGCAAAAGTTTTAAGTAGCAATCTTGCTAACAGGGAACAGCTGTAGACGTTTTCCCAGAGACTACATCCTGTGCATTTCATTAAAACCTGTCCACAGGTTCATGAAATATTTTAACACTCCACACACACAAAATTATCGTTTAACCTTTGACATGTCACAGCTCCRATATTTCCAAGTATTTACTGTCATTTTAACTCAGACTGAAGCATCTTTTTTGTGATTTCGGCATTCTAAAACATACAGAATGCCTGTCTTTTCCGTCCTCAGGTTTATTCTGACTCCATCCCGTCCCACAGAGCACGCACTGTATATTCTCTCTCTGCACCATCTCACCCACTCTCCTTGGCTGGGGCTGTGTTAGAGTGGGAGCGGGAACAGATTATGCCTGCGAGGCTGCTAACTGTGCCTCTTCCTGTGCAGACACACCCAGCGTGCGACAGCTGAAACATTTGACAGCAAGGGTGGCAATTAGGAGACGTGCTCTAACAGATGTATTCACACGGAGATGTCAGTTTTCAAAGGCATTAGCAGATGGAAGAAGGAGAAATAAGCTCTAATGTGAGAGGATGCCACTTTTTAGAACATCTAATAGTAAAAACCTAGCATTACATAACCGATTGCACAGCTTCATCTCATCCATGAAGGTCCTGAGAGCCTTCAGCCGTACTCCTATGGTTCACCCAAACTGCAGAATCTTTTACTACATTTTAAAGCTCATCCCTCAAAATGACCATCCAGGCCCCAGTATTAAAACTAAGACCTCTTGAGTCATTTTCAGCAAARGGCAGCAGGAGGGTTAACAGCAGTACTGCAGTTAAATTGTCTTTTATTGTAGGGTGTCCTTGAGTGTTGTAAAGAAGGCCATAAATAAAATGTAAAAGTTGCATAATTAGCAACAGTAGCTGCCATTTTACCTCCTAATGGGAGCCACAAGAACATCCTACTTGTCTGACCTTTTGGGTAATCTAGCAAAAGGCAATGACAATCATTTAGAGACTATCTCCCAGTGAATTCTAAAGGAATTAACAAGCAATTATAAAGGAAGGAAATACTCAACCATTGGCACAGAGTGCCCCAATTATTTAAGCACTCTGTGAGCAATCTGAAGAGGTTCCTGTACAGAAGAGAACTCTTTTACTAGAAGTCACAAAGGTTAGAGAACCAGAGGAGTTTCAAAATTACTGCTCTTGTCTGCTTTATAATTACAGGTGGAAAGAATCACTGGCAAACAACTGGGCTTTCTCTTCTGGTCCAAAACCAACGCACACACACACACAGATTGCACATGCACAGAGAAAATACAGGTCACAGTTGCTTTTCCAGCTCTAAGGCAACAGTCCTTCATGGAGATGTAGCAAACTGACAGCACAACCACACAACTTACTGACGTCTCTGCACAAATAGCTCACAATTTYATCAACCAGACTAACTCAAAAACATTTTATTTAAACACATCCCAGTTTTATCTCTTCCAGAGAAAACTCAAACATGAACTGTAACATGCAGAGGAAATTAAAGCCATATTTTCATTAATTATCAAGGTGGAAAGAGGTGGTGGAACTGGGAATGCAAACATAATCAAGCAGCTTATGATGAACTACAACTTTATTTATATTAAAAACAAAGTGCTGACATGGCGCCAAACAACGACAAAAACCTGAACACAAAAACAGAATAACATGACGTTTAAAGGGGAAACCGAGTGGGTGGGATCGAAGCAACAGAAGAAAATCAAACACAGGCAACCCTGATAGGTAAAAATATATAAAATAATCATAAAATCCTTCCATTTAAACAAAAGCCTATTAAATAATTAATAATACACAAATCATGATAGAAACAGCTCTAAATGTTGGAATTATGGGCGGCCATTTTGATGAAATCCCATCAATATGGTCAGCCACATGAAGGCAAAATGGAGATAATGGTTTTGCCCATGTGACGAGGTACACTTCGCTGCAGCATGCAGCTCGGGGCGGTGACAGACCTTTCCGTCAGTCCCATACCTTATATGGAAATGGGAGTATTGCATTCCGGAAATGAAGGYTGCTCCTTAAAGACGCGGGATTAAGAGAGCAAAGGAAGAAGAAAGGAAGAAGTTAGAGAGTTTCTTCTACTCACGTTGAAGTACTCAGAGCATTATTTATTAATTTCTTTTATCCACCTCCCCAAACACAGACCCTCAGGTTAACCTCACAGATTTAATGCCTAAGGTTAACCTCACAGCTTTAATGCCTAAGGTTAGTTTGTTACTGTAATATAATATTAATATCCAAAAACAACAAAGAATTAATAAAGATTTGAAAATGAAAAAGGGACATACCACGTGACAGAACACGTTGTGTAGCCATTTCCTTACTGTAAATTTTTTTTCTTTTTTTTATTAAACAACAAAGAACACACAAAATGATACAATGTACAAACAATAAGGCGTATTTCAAACAAACAAACTTGCATAAAAGAGAAAAAGGATGGGTGCAAATAAAGATAAGAAATTCCTTACTGTAAAATTTGTATTKTTAATGTTGAAAGTGTTCRATAGAAAATAGTGTCACTAGCGCCCCCTTCAATTCCGGAATGCAATAGTCCCATTTCCATATAAGGTATGGGACTGACGGAAAGGTCTGTCACCGCCCCGAGCTGCATGCTGCAGCGAAGTGTACTTGCATGTGACTGCTAGGGCTGTGTATTGGCAAGAACTTGGTAATATGATACATATGACACAGGAGTCACAATACAATATATTGTGATATATTGTGATACTGTAAGCAAGCGATATATTGCAATAAATTACCATTTTTTCTAAGAAAAAAAACTCAGTATGTTTGATACACATTTTGTACTTATTTCATCCATGGTTTCAATGGGTCAAATGTGGCGGTATGGAGCACTTACATTACAGTTAATAMAGAACAGTTGGCAACCCAACACCAGCTCCGAAGGCAGAGGGTGTCGGTCTAATCCACTCAGATTCAGATATTAGTGCTAAAGTTTATTCACAATGCTAACATTTGAGCTAGCATTATACTCTCAGGCTCCTCAGGAGTGACTGCTGCCAACTAGTGGTTGGAGGCTAAACTACAACACAAAAATGAACCGCTGGTATGAAAKCTTACATTTAGAGTCTTAATTAAAAATAGGTACATTGCTTTAGAGAATCAATGCAGTATCGGGAATTTAAATACCACAATAGTTCAGCATATCGATATTTTCTTACACTCCTAATAACTGCATAGTGTGTGTTCATTTATTTTCTGTACGTTACTAGAATATATCATAAACCACTGTACAGATTTCACTCAAGGCCCTCTCTGAATACCTTAAAGGCCTCCACAGTTCACCTCATGGAGTTGCGTCTGCTCCTATAAGAAATAATCACACTCAACTGCTCTGTGAAAACTAGTAGTTGGTTTAGAGTGGCTCTTGTTCTGCACAGGTGTATTTTAGTCATTGTTTTCCCTGCACTGTGAGCTTGGACTGCTGGTCGTCGGTCACCACTGATGCTGTGACCTTTCTGTTGCAGGGCAACCTGACATTTAGACCTCCAACATTACAACAGTGCAGCTATTGTACAGTTAACACGCTCACAAGACAAACAATGGCATGGCATGTGTGGATTTCCAACAAAATTAGGATGCAACACCCAGTCCCACTGCTAGTATTTGGATTCTGGAGAATTTAAAGATGCCCTGCTCTGAATTTTTTAATACCAGGCTTGAAAGAGAGACAAATCAACAGGTATCTGCCATTGGTTCCACTGAGATMTTCCTGGACAATAAGAAGCCACAGGAGGTGTATCATTACCTAATTTCCCTCAGGGATCAAGAAAGTATTTTTGAATTGTGTATTGTATTGAATTGAATTTATGAGTAGCCACTTCTTACATCATCACACCTCAGGAATGTCCTGAGCAGCCTCAAACTCACTGTTGGGTTTTTAGAAACACTATCAAGCAGATGTGATTCAGCTGTGTTTATGGTACAAACTCACTTGTACTGTGCCTGGAAATGTTCCTGGACAAAACTGTGCTGGACCCTGGGCTGATGGGACTGGACTGGATCAGGACACAGCACATCCTCAGCTCCACTTGGACCCTGCAGCAAACAAACAAAAATAAAAAAGCATGATATACACACAGTAAGTGATTAGACTTATTTTGAATAGACGTGGAATTAACTAATAGTGATCATCTTGGGTATGATGCTTTCCATTTTGGCAACAACTCCATGTTCAAAAAAGGTGAAAAAACACCCAACAGGGCCCTGGTTTTACTCTTATCTATTCACCTGCACAACAGAGGAGGAGGCTCGCCTTGGATGAAGATAAAAGGACCAGGTGAAAAAAATGCTCTTGGATCAGACTCACAAGGTCACACAACAAATCAGTGGGACAGCAGACAACACAGGGAGGGACTGACAGACAMTGCTGCATGTCAAGGACACCGGGATGTATCTCACTTTCAAAGAGTCATGAGAAAGTTTGTTTCAGAACGTCAAATACAATCCTGAAAAATAATGACATCACATTAAAACCATTGACTTTTCACTCATTTTGGCCACAAGTCATTGTCTAAACCTTGTCGACTTTAAAAATCCTCACAGGTGACTTGTTCTGAATTAATATCTTGATGCAACAGTTTTCTTGGAACTATAGATGGTAAATCGGGTTCCCTTTATGGAACTGGGTTAATCTGAGTCAATCACTAAACTAACCCGGTTCACTTGAATAACTTGCCTCACCCTCCACAAAAAAATGTAATATTAGTTGATATGCAACATTCAGAAATGTTCATTTTACAATTTCACATGCAAATAAACACCTTGCAGATGATGGACCAAAATCTTAAAGGGGACCTAACGTGCAAAATTCACTTTTTTCAGGTTTTTTAACTTACATTTGGGTCTGTACTGCTTCAAAAAACAGTCCAAGCATCAAACAAAATGCACTCAGAGGTATTTTTATTATAAGTAAATGTATTTTTTTTGTGTCTTGAAATTAACTGTTTTCAAACACCAATGTTTTGTGACGTCACAAACCATACACCAACCCACACCAAAATGGACCCAGCCCCTCACCTGACAACCCAAGGTGGAGCTCCACCCACTTCTTCACAGGACAAAAGTTTGTTCTACTATTTTTACAACAGTCATGGAGAACAGAGATGCCTGGATTAATTTTATTTTTGATGGCAATGTTCTGGCAATATTGCCAAAAAAAGATGTAGTTTGTGTAAATAACTTCACGATGGATTACTTTGAAAACTACTACTAGCAGGATTTACCCAAGGACTTTCTACTGAAGGAAACTTCTGTCATTTTTGTTTCTCACAAATCTGCAGGTGATGGCGAAGTAAGTGATGTCTTGTGTGTTTATTATTGCTGTTTGGCATAAACATGATTWGTTATTTAGCACAAACTAATGTTAAACACGCTGCCGTGAGGAGGACAGCAGCCTCGCCTTTTGATTTGATTTGATTTATTGATTTAATAGGAAAAGATCACTAAAAATCAAGCCTGACTCAGCATAATTTCTGTTTTACAGCAGGTTCCTGTTCTGCAGGACATAAAACACTCAGAATTACAGCATCACAATCACATCATTATACACCATAGACACAAACAAGCATACCAAATTTCAGGAAGGCAGCATTTGCAAAATAGGACATCTAAATATGAGCACAACAAAAAGTGTCCAGCAGATGGCAGACAATATTCTTCTTAAAGGGCTGTAGTTTAAAAATGGACTTTATGTTTTGAGGAATGTCATTCCATGCTTTAGTATAAACATAGAAGAAAGACCTCTGGCCATAACAGTTTTTAAAAGTTGGTAATATCAGTTGTCCTTTTGTAACAGATCTGGTTGAATGACCACTTCCAGAATTTGATTTGGGCAACAATGCACAGAGAGTTCCATAATTGGCACCTTGGAAGATCTGAAAATATAAATTAATACCACTATACAAAACATAATTCTGAAAAGTCAAGGCATCAGACAATGAARGAACTGTACAGTGATGAGTCCAACCAGGAAGTTTTTTATGAATTTTTTCCTCCCGTAACGCTGGATCCTCGTGAACCGGTGACCACAGTACGGCTGCAGCTTGAGCCGCCTTTCCCTCTCCATAACCGTGTCCTCATTAAGCAACAACCGCTGTTCGGCTCCAACGCGAACTGCGTTTCCAGATGAGAAGATGAAATGAGAAGTTCAGTGTTTATTGACTAAAGTTATAAAGATTTAATTATGTAGTATTTGCAACGTGACAGTTTTTACAAGTATATTGATTAGGATGAACAGAAATACTGGTTTTTGATTATTTATTACATAATGCACCAGATTATTACACCACCACATTTTGTAATAATTGCTGCAAAATGTAATAACATTATTACATWATGTGTTGAAGACTTTTATTACATTTTGCGTCAATTATTACATTGTGAGGTTTTAGCGCGAGTTTATTACATTTTGAAGCCTGAAATTATTACATTATTACATAATGCGCTATTACAAAATGAGGTCTTACAAGCTTTAAGACCTGCAGTGTGAACGTAGCCCAGGAGCAGAGCCAGGGTGTGGCCAGGGTGTGGCCAGGGTGTGGCCAGGGGTGGCCATGGCCACCAAAGATAAATCTTTGGCCACCCCACTGGCCACCCTGCTGTACACACCCCTTCCACAGCGAAACAACCTTCAGGGGTGTAATAATCCTCCTGAACTGTTGATTACAGTGTTTAAAAGTTTGAAACATCGCCAAAAACAAAGAAGTGACAAAGAAGTGATTGTTTTCTTTATATAGAGAACAATCTGACTTATGATGACATTTTTTTTAACCATATCACAATGTCATTTTATGTTATGAAGGCTGCATGATGCTCTGCCCCTTTTGGTTATGAGTAGACCTATCAATAAAAAAAGTGAAATGCTTTAAATTAACTGTTGGTGATTATCAATATTGCATCTGTTCATTGGGTAAAGTTATTAATATTAGTTTTAAACATGCAGTTGAAGGTGATAATTATTTGGCACAGTGGCGTGTTGAAATTAAAAATAAATCAATAAACAATATACAAGTAAAAGGCACCCCTAAAGTCATTAGATATGATAAATTGTGACACATTAATTAACCTTATCTCAGCTGTAGCAGTGAGTTTAAAAACAGTATAATGAAACTAGTTTAATGAAGAATATGTCTCTGAAATTATTATTAAATTAAGTGTTTATTTATGTAGGTAAATGTATGTTAAACAACCTGGCAAAATACACCAGAATGCTGGAAATGGCATCTATTTTGTTCAAATTTTTCTGGGGGAGGACCACCAGTCCCCCCACCAGTGTGTCCCCCCACTTTTAAAATGGTTCTGACACCCATGTTTATAAGGTAGTCACTGCCTGTACAAAGACATGAGGAAATGACAAAAACACACAGTTCTGCACAAACCTTCAGGTAAGAAATTATGTACTTTTCCTGGCCACCCCGTGTGAGTAGTGGTCCCCGTATGGCCACCCCTGAGAAAAATGTCTTGCTCCGCCACTGGTGTAGCCCTAGTTTAAAACTCTAGCAGGAAAGCTGGTGGGCAATATTCCTTCCTTCAAGAAAAGCTTTATTTATATTCAACATCAACTCCATTTAACACCTWTTCAAGTGAAGAAAATCTCTTAAAACACATTTTTCAGTGTTTACATCATTAGCCTCTCTGTGCCCACATGCTTCCAGTTCAACAATAGACTGTTGTAAAAGCCAAGGACTTCAAACTGCATAATGTCCTCATATAACCTCTAATAAGCTTTCATGCCGGCCTGACCTGGCTGAAAGGAAGTGCACTCTTTGTGCTTTTCTTTTTTGTTGTTCAGTCTGTTTACTATTCCCCAGATCTCCTGGTACCGTACTGGCTGCCACTGTTCCCAAGCTGGCAGCTCGGCCAGAACCACCACTCAGTGACGAAGCTGAAAGGAAGGTTAAAGTTTCTAAGTAAGGAAGGTGTGTGTGTGTGTGTGTGTGTGTGTGTGTGTGTGTGTGTGTGTGTGTGTGTGTGTGTGTGTGTGT